ACTTCTGTGCAGAGCTTTGGCTGCTGTGGCTTCTTCCTGGTAGGAGGAAGTGTTATTGCTCTTTTATAGGGGATGATAATCAACACATGTTCAACTCCTCTTTTTTAAAAAAAAATTTTTATTTTATTGAATATTTCTCAATTACATGTAAAAAATTTTTAAGCATTCATTTAAAAAAATTTTGAGTTTCATATTCTCTCCCTCCCACACCTTTCCTACCCTTTGAGAAGGCAAGCAACATGACATAAATTATACATGTGGAATCATACAAAACATAGTTCTGTTAGCCATGTTGCAAAAGAAAACACACACACACACACACACAAATACACAAACATACAAAGCCAAGAAAAATGAAGAGAGTTTAAAAAAATGCTTCAATCTATATTCAGAATTCATCAGTTTTCTTTTTGGAGGTGGATCTTTTGGAACTGTCTTGGATCAACTCCTTTTTGTTAAAGAGGCCTCATCATTGCTGGCCAACTGGTCCTCACAGACAGGTAAGCCCATGAGTCCTAGGAATAGCAGTGTCCCTCTCACCACCCACCTGGTGCCAAAGCCATCATTTAGAGTAACAACCCCTGCGGAAAAGGGGTCAAGCAACCCCACTATCAGCCATACCAATTGCCATGCACAGGACAGAAAAACCACCCTTGCTAAAGCATTGAGGCACCCAAGAAGGGACAAGAGGTGGCATGTGTCAGGTGGGACAAATTGCCACCACCTTAATCACTTCCTCTTCTTATGCTCCAAAGGAGACAGCTGCAGCCCAGAATCCTACACCCAAGAGCTCTGGGAATATCAGTGCCCCTCAGGCCATTGGCCCTGTTTCCAGGCTGACCCCCACAGCCCTAATCTAGGGAATCAGTCCTTGTAGAGACAGAATCTGGCAATGTTCTCTGCACAGTAGCCACAGCTACTGAAGACAAAAACAAACTAACAAACAAACAGAAACCCAAAGTCCTCACTATCACATGCTTGACACTGTCAAAGGATTGAATGTCAGAAATGGATGTGATTTTGTCAATGGAAATGACATTAAAGAATATGAATTACTGTTTATTTTTCAGCTGCACCCTAAGGACCATCTGATTGCCACTGAAGCCTTATATGTGTTGCCTCCCCCAATTAGAATGTGAGCTCTTTGAGAGTAGGGACTGTCCTGCTTTTCCATTTGTTTGTCATTCAAAGCCCTTCATAACCTAGACCCCCCTCCCTCTTCCTCTTTCTAGTCTTCTAACATCTTATTCCCCATCACATACTGTTGGATCCGGTAACACTGGCCTTCTCGCTGTTCCAAGAACAAGACACTTCATCACTCAGCTCTCAGCTCCCAGAATTTTCTCTGGCTGACTCCCATTCTTGGAACTCCTCCTTCCTCTGCTCTGCATACTGACCTCCCTAGCTTCCTTCAAGGGGAGGAAGTTGCCAGCCATTGAGCTCAAATGGAAAGCAGGGCTAGTGGCCTGGGGGACATTGAGGTTCCAGGGGCTTTTAGGCTTATGTGCCCCTTGGTAGCAGTTGGTGTTGATGGTGGTGATCATGGATCAATTCTCCTTTATTTTTTAACTTTTTTTTTCAATTCACAAGTATTTGTTTTCTCTCCCTTCCACTTTCCCTCCTCCAATTTGAAAAGGAAAAAAAACCCCTTGTAACAAATAAGAAGCCAGTCAAAACAAATTCCCTCATTGATTGTATCTGAAAAATGTATGTGTCATTCTGTTTCTATGTGCAGAGGTGGGTAGCATAGTACATAATCTGGAATTCTGGTTGGTCATTGCACTGATCAAAGTTCTTAAATCTTTCAAATTTGTTTGTCTTTATAATGTTGTTCTGTGAATTGTTCTCCTGATTTATTAGAATTCTTCACTTTGCATTAGTTCATACAAGTTTCCCAAAGCTTTTCTAAGACTATCCTTTTCATCATCTCATACAGCACATTAGTAGTCCCAGTACATCCTTGTACCATGATTGGTTCTTTCATTTTCTAATTGATAGATACCTCCTTAGTTTACAGATCTTTGTCGCTCTAAAAAGAACTGCTCGAAGTATTTTCTCACATATGGTTCCCTTTCCTCTTCTTTGATCTCTTTAGGTGAGTGGGCTCCTTCTCTCCAAAGGCTGCTCTTCTCAACAATAGTTTCAAGGGTCTCTCTGTAAAAAAAAGGTTGGTGGTCTGGGGAGCACTGCTTTTTACCAGGGTTCTTGGGTTTAGGGTCCTGGGCTATTTCCACTAAGGTTTGATGGCGGTCAAAGTGGTTTGGCAGATGCTGCTTCTTGCCTCTCCCTCAGCACATAGTAGATGCTTAATAAGTGTTTATTGAATGAGTGGGGAGGTGGTGGGGACAGTTGTTCCCTGACTGATCGCTTCCAGGACCAAACTGGAAGTATGGCTAGTGGTCTGGGGGCCACTGAGGTTCCCAGAACTCTTGTTTCTACTACTGATCAGATAATTGTTTGGTAACAGGTGTTAATGTTTGCTGGCGTGGCAAGCCCCTTCTCCACAAGGGTTGCTCACCTTGCTGACTGCAAGGGTCTGGTTAGAAGCAGAGCCAATGGTCATAGGAGCCAGTGCAGAAAGGGACCTCAGGGATGACTTGGGCCAACCTCCTCATCTTACAGATAGGGAAACTGAGTTGCATCCAGAGAGTTCCTGGGACATAGAGATAAAGTGACTTGCTCAAAGTCATACAGGAAATGAGTAGCAGAGGTGGGATTTGAACCCAGGTGCTTTGACTCTAAGTTGACTGCTTTTCCACTTACACTTACTTAGCATTGTCTTACACTTAGGTTTGAGAAAATCCTGGCATTAATCTGGGTTTGATCTGGCTAGGTGTCCTTGGAACCACCCTTGGTCCTCACTGAGCCTTTAGGACAGTGGTCTCAGCGTCTTCTCTAGCATTTCCTTTTCTTTCAATTTTTATATTTTATTTTTTCCAATTATATGTTAATAACAATTTTTAACATTCATTTTTTAAAAATTTCAAGTTCCGAATTCTCTCCTCCCTCTTCCCCTTTCTCCCTTTATGAGAAGGCAAGCAATTTGATATAGATTATACATAGGTAGTCATGTAAAACATATTTCCATATTAGTCATGCTGCAAAAGAAAACACAGACCCCCCAAAAAAAAGGAAAAAGAAAGAAAGTAAAAGAAAAGTATGGCTTTGATCTGCATTCATTCTCCTGCAGTTCTTTCTCTGGAGGTAAATAGCTTTTTGTCTTGGATCATTGTATTGCTGAGAATGGTCCAGCATCTTTTAGTAAAGGAGGACTCCTAATCTTATGATCTCATTCCTTCACACACACTCACACAACTACATTACACTATCATGGGAAGCCTGCATGGGAAGAGCAGGAAATGACTCATTAAGGCTTTCTGCAAGTCACGGTTACTGAAAAAAGGAAACCCTGTTTCCAGGGTTTGCGTCTTCAGATACAATTTTAATTTCTCTCCCCTGGGGAAAAAGTGATGAGAATAACCTTTGGGAGCCAGAGGGTGGCAGACCTACCTAACATGTTTATAAGGCCACGAATATTGTTCTTATTATCCTGTTTAACGGAATGTTTCCAGGCCCATAGTCTTGGGTAGGCATTGTGGTACACTGAATTTGGAGTGGGTGGACACTGGATTGGACATGGGTTCAAATTCTGACTTCTATTTACTATCTGGATGATCTTGGCAAGTCACTATGGCACAGTAGAAAAACCTCTGGGGGCACAGTTTTCTCCTATATTCTATGACCTGGTGTCACTGGTCTTCTTGCTGTTTTTGAAGATCTGGGCATTTTTACTGGCACTCAGTGTACACTATGGGTATTAGGTGTAGGATAGCCTTTATTCCTATCCACGCTCTCCCATCAAAACATTCATGATCACCCATGACAAATACAAAAATATAAAGCACTCCGATGGGTCAGTAGACTCCCTCTGGAAAGTAAACACGCTTTGGGCGGGCAGGGATACTGTTGAACAAATACTGCCCAATAACTTCAGACCTGACTGAACAAGTGAAGGTAACAGGAGGTTGACAAAGTCTAGATCTCTGGCCTCCCTGTGGCTTGGCTTGCTTTAATATAGGGAGATCCTGCGCTGGCAGGCCTCCTTTTCCAAAGAAGAAATATCCCTTGAGAAGGCCCAGTATTCAACTCCTGAACTCAAGAACTCTCAAACTTACATAAAGACATTCTCTGTCTCTGTCTCTGTCTCTGTCTCTGTCTCTGTCTCTGTCTCTCTGTCTCTCTCTCTCTCTGTCTCTCTCTCTCTCTCTCTCTCTCTCTCTCTCTCTCTCTCTCTCTCTCTCTCTCTCTCTCCCCTCTCTCTCTCTGTGCGATCAGGGTTATGTATCACTTAACTCTGTTTGCCTCAGCTTCCTCATCTGTAAAACAGGCTAGAGAAGAAAATGGCAAACCACTCCAGTATCTTGGGCAAGAAAACTCTAAAATGGGGGTCACAAAGAGTTGGACACACCTGAACAACAATAACTACATATTTTCAGTAAATATTCCTTTGTAAAAGCTAATTGGGGTTAATTGTTTTTCAGCAGTGTCAAGGAGATATCAACTAGTAAAATGATAGCGGGGAGATACTGTCGCTGGCAAATGGTGTTAGAAAAATATTGCTGGCAATTGAAATTGAGGGGAACACCTTGGATGGGGGCTCAAGATGATACTAGAAGAATCCCATGAATCCCACAGTCCTGTAGGGGTATCCCTAGGACTCTAGGAGGGAGATGGAACATTAGCCTTGCTCTGGGCACCCAACCTGTCAGTGCTAATGTGGGTTGGAAGAGAAGCTTTGGAATCTGGCCTCAGAAGTAATAATCTGTGACTCATGCTCATCTGGATCTCTGTTCAAAATAAGGAAAGAGAAAGGGAGAAGACATTTAAGAACTTAAGGTCTCTGACTTCTCCTCTTCGGATACCTGGGCAAGCATAGATAGCTGACCCTGAAAGGCTTCTCTTTTCATTAGCTTTTTTTTTTTTTTTTTGCTACTAGGCAGAGGGAAGATGGCCATACTCCACTCACACATGCTGCACTCCAGTCTGGAAATCCAAGGGAGAGAACATGTGAGGGGGGAAGAGAGGAGATGGAAGAAGATGGGGAAAAAAGCGAATGAGATGTTTATAGACCATAAGGTATGCCATAAATATAGTGACTCTCAGGATTCCATCACTGGTGACCTGAGTAGGTGGCCCCACTCATTAGGGACCAATCAGAGGAATTCCTAGCGCCCTTTTAGTGCTGTGTGAGGGCAAAGTGTCTGCCTTCTCGGGAGGAACTCTTCAAACAAGGGTTGGCGTTCCGTAATATTATAAAGTCGGTCAGGGGCCTCACCTGACTCCTCGGGGATTCCCATGATCAAACTCCTTTAAACAGGATCATGGGAGCAGGAGCCACTGGCATGCAGGGGGTGGGGGAAGCACGTATTAAGGAACACGGGCGGTCTAGTTTGGCTAGGACTTAGAGTTCTGGGAAAAGAGAACTACAAGTTAAGGAGTGAAACACAAAGAGACAGAGGGGCTAGAGGGTCAGCCTTGGAGTCTTCCTAGACCTGGCTCAAGTTTTGCCAAGGATACATATTAAGTGTTTTCATGGCAAGCCACTGAACATCTCAGTGCTCTTACTGTTGTTCAGTTGTTTCAGTCGTATGTGACTCTTCATGACCCCATTTGGGGTTTTCCTGGTACAGATACGGGAGCGCTTTGCCATTTCCTTCTCCAGCTCATTTTATAGGTGATGAAACTGAGGCAAACAGGGTGAAGTGACTTGCTCAGGGTCACACATCTAGTATGTGTCTGAGGTCAGATTCGAACTCAGGAAAATGAGTCTTCCTAAGGCTGCGCACCATGGCGTCACCTAGCTGCTGCCTCAGTACTGTGAGACACTGTAAGTTACAGATAAATTGCCAATCTGCATCAAAGGAGGGAGTTTGTCCACCTGGAGTTCCCCATACCCATGGAATCTCAGGTTCAGACTCAAATAAAAGAAAAGCCTATTCTGAATGCCCATGAGAACTCTGTATGGCAGATTCAGGTGAGTCCAACCTCAGTTTCTGGCTAGGGACAAAGTCTTTGGTCACATCTCAAAGACGTTCAGAGATCCAGAGCTGCAAGGGATCTTAGAGACCATCTACTCCAACTCTGTCATTGTACAGATGAGGAAACTGAGGTCACAAGTGGTTAAGTGAGTGTCCCAAGGTCATATTGTTGGGAAGCACGAAAGTCATGATTTCAGCCCAAGACTCCAATGTCAGTGCTCTTTTCCCTGTACAACAAAATGTTATCTAACAGGGAAGACATGGGAAAGAAAATTAAGGACAGTGAGCCTGACAGGGACATTGCTATCCCTCCCGAGAAGGTTCATTTCATAGCAAAACTCCCAGAAGAGAAGGGATCAGCCACACGGCTCCCACTTGTTCCCTCTGTCTTGAGTTTTTTCCTGTCAGCTCCATTAAGTCCAGGGAACTAGAAAAGTTGCTGCCATGAACCAAATGGAGTTTGCAGAGAAGCAGTATGGTGTATATCATAACAGTAACAGCCAACATCTATATATAGCTTTGAAGTTTGCTCTTCACAACCCAGTGTGGTATTATTTATTTTACAAATAAAGAAACTCAGGTTAGGTAACTTTCCCAGGATTCCATCACTAGTGACTGTCTAGGGCAGGATTTGAACTCCTTGTATCCTGTTTCTATACCAGAGATAGCTGGTAGCACAATGGACAGCATGTTGAACCTGGAGTCAAGAAGACATGAGTTCAAATTTGACCTCAGACACTTTTTAGCTGTGTGATCCTGGGCAAATCACTTAACCTCTGTTTGCCTCAGTTTCCTCAACTGTAAAGAAAGGATAATAACAATCTCTACCTCACAGGGTTAGGGTAAGGATCAAAATGAGATAATCTTTGTAAAAAAGCATTCAGCATACAGTTGGCATTATATAAATCCTTGTTCCCTTCCCCTGTCTCCAAGTTCAGTGCCCTATCCTCTATGATAAGTTGCCTCAATGTCATAGAAGAAATATTGGGTTTGGAATCAAAGGATATTAGTCCTCTGGACTTCCTCTCACTCCTCAGGGGGCTAGCCCTTGGCTTTTCTTCATTCATTCTGGGGTTAGGACTTTTAGGCATTAATGCTTCAGTCTCTTTTGGATAGAGAGGCGTTAGCATTTCCATATGCAAAGTGACCCATGCAAGACACACCAGCACATCATTTTGCTTTTGCCAAGACATCCTGGAATCCCAGGTACGAAAATTTCCTCTACTGTCTAGCTGGCAGATCATTGACACCCCTTCACATTATGAGTGTTATCAGCGTTGGGTTGACAACACAGAACTGACTGGGAGCAGAGAGAAATTGACTCTGACCTTCCTGGGACTATAACTTGGGTGGAGGCAGTTTGGGAAATTAGGTAATGAAGTATCAGCTGCTTGTTTCATTTCCTTGTTATTTACTTGACCTTCGACTAAAGGTCAATATCCTTTTATTTTATTATATCACATCATCATTTATTTTTGCCAGGTCAAAAAGAATCAGGGAGAAAAAAGGGGGTCCACAAGCGATCATTTTGAAAAGATAATGAACTAAGACTAGCTTCTAGGACCCTGACTATGGGCATAGGGCATTACATCAGTAAAATGGGGCCAATGAAGCTTGTGTGGGGCGCCCTGAGGATTGCAGAGTGCTTGGGAAAAACCTGAAAATGCTACATAAGCATCTGCTCTTATCTTGTTAAGTTGCTTCCCATTCTCTTCGGTGCAAAGGTGGAGATTAGGGTGGAAGGTGAAAAAACTGTTGATCAGTAAGTCTCAGGAGTAGTAAAGGAGAGTACCAGTGCTTAGAACAGTATTTAGTATGCGTTTTTGTTGAGCTGTTTCAGTCGTGTCTGACTCTCTGTGACCCCATTTAGGGTTTTCTTGGCAAAGATACTGGAGTGGTTTGCCATTTCCTTCTCCAGAATGAGGAAATTGGAGCAAACAGGATTGGGTGACTTGCCCAGGGTCGTACAGCTAGTAAGTGTCTGAGGCCAGATTTGAGCTCAGGAAGAGAAGTCTTCCTGATTCCAGGGCTGGGGTGCTATCCACTGCTTCATCTAGCACATAGTAGTCACTTAATGAATATTGCTTGAATGATTGACTGACCTGAAACACATATTCCTTAGTTTGGAGGTGGGGGAGGGGGTCCATGGAGGCAGTAGCCTCTTTTATGGCCGCTGCACACATTCTTTTCTGGAGTCTCCTCTCTGCAAACCCCTGCACCCCTCTGCAATACACATCTCTTTCTGAAGTCTCTTCTATGTTCACCCCAACCTTAGCACACACCTTTCCTCCTGGAGTCTCACTGTTCTGTAGTTAGCAACTTTTATCTAGTCATTCCCTTAAAGGCTGCTAAGTGGTATAGTGAATAGAGTTCTGGGCATGGAGTAAGAAAGATTGGAGTTCAAATCTGGTTTCAGACACTGGTTATGTGACCTTGGGTAAGTTACTAAACCTTTGTGTACTTCCGTTTCCTCAACTGTAAAATCATGATAATAATAGCACCTACCTCTCAGGTTTGTTGTTAAGATCAAATGAGATAATATTTGTCAAGTGCTTGACACAGTTCTTGGCACATTAATACATGCCTTTTCCCTTCCTTTCTTAAAATCTGTATTTTGAAAATAGCTTATGTTCTAGCCCTTGTTATTTTCTGTATCTTTTTGGTGCCAGATCAGGAGAGGAAATGCTGGGGGATGGGAACTGAATTGCTTGGAAATGACAATGTAAAGGAAGTTGTTTAAACCCAAAGTTGCACGGAGTGGGTCTTTTGAAGCAAAGATATTCATTTGCCTGCTTTGTGGTAACCAGATCTTCATCTCTGCCCTGTGCCTGTAACCAGAACATCCCCTCAGCTTCCTTGAGGATTTTATTGCCTTGATGACGTTCTTCCTTTTCTATTCTGTTCTCTGCCTGTCAGCATCCTCAGGACCTCAATTCTCTAACTGCATTGATGACACTTTTTAATACCCTGGCCTCATTGTTTCTGGGCTTCTTCAACTCCAGTGACCTCTGTCTTAGCTTCATGTCAGCTACCTACCTGCCTGGTCTCACTGAGTATGTCTGTGTCATCTGGAATAACACCATTTCCAAGATCTTCTAATGATCCTGGGCAAGAAACTAGATGTTCTGAGAATCAATTTTCTCAGTTCAAGGGATTGTGTTTCAGGGGAATGAGTGATTTCATGCAGAAGTAGACATGGTATTCCCACTCAGTCCAAGTTCAAGTTTCCAAGTATGAGCATTCTGGGATCAGACCTTTTGGTGAGAGAAAGGGATTTCCTGCTATAGAACATTTTTCAGAGAAAAAAAGAAAAACTTACATAATTATCCTACAATTTCCTACTTGGAGAGCCAAACCAGTGAATTGCTGGGAAGGGGATTGCTTATTCAGTATAGGATGTGCACCTTCCCAGAGGTGACTGGTTACTACAAATCTTGAGTATCCTGGGTTGGATTCCATAGGAAAGAGAGACTCACTGGAACATCAATGAGTTGTCCTACTAACAAGCCTTATGACCTTAGACAAATCATTTCATGTCCCTGTGTTTCAGTTTCCTCATCTAGAAAAGGAGGAGATTGGACTAGATCAGAGGTGTCAAACTCACCCACAAACCCCTCAGCAGGGAACCAGATTAAAATATAATTAGGAAATGTTTAACAAAATAAATAAAAATACAATACAACATAGATAATGTTAATTTGTGGTTTTCTAAGTCAATATGTGGCCCAGACACCACTAAGGTATATTCTAGCTCTAAATCTATGACTTTATGATATTATCAACTACGTCAGAGCCCTGAAGAGAGACATGGTGTAAATGGTAAGCCTGCCATGGGGCATCTGGTATCTGCTGCTCTGCCTGTGAAAAAGGGGGTCTTCTGCTTTCCCTACCTCCCCTTACTCTAATAGTAACAACAATAATAATAACAATAATAGCTAACATTTATATAGTGCCTTAAAGTTTGCAAAGCACTTTACAAATATCTCATTTGACCTCACCACAACCCTGGAAGGGAGGTGCTGTTATTATTATTATCCTAATTTTATAGATTAAGAAACAGGCAGGCAGCAATTAAGTCCAGGGTCACACAGCTAATAA